ATAGAAATATAGTTTCATTAATATTTCAAGTTCCAGATATCCTAAAGAGATACAGTTTGAATAGTTGTATTCCAATTACAATGCTTCTTCTATTGGCTTGTCTGTGCCACTTGTGTAACATATATTGTGGCACTCCTTTCACCATTTGTATTGTTACATATTACTATATGTTCAACATTTTTTCTTTATCTTTTTTTGCTTTATACTTGTGCTGGATCTTATTCAAATACTTGAATGATATAATTATATGTATAAAGCTTTCTATGAAAATTGACTGTTCTCTTTTTTACTTGTTACAAGTATAAATAACTGTTACAGACTTGAATAATCTATAATTTGTCACAATCCTAAAAGGGTAAAGAAGGTCAAATACTAGGTAGTCGAATAAAAAACCAATCTTTATTAGTTGTTCTAGTCAAGGTAGCAACTATTCAACTATTTGAGCAAATTATTTAAATGAAGTTTAAGGTGAAACATATTTTCAGTTTGCTATATATCAAGTCACATTTGGAAAGCAAGTATATCAATTCTAATTATGACTTGGAAATTAACTTGTATATGGTGGCTACAGTACCTTTATGTAATTAGATAATCAAAATTCTCTAAGTAACTAGATGCTATTCAAAACTTAATATAAGTTTTAAATTTTATTTTTCTATATTCTTGGTTAATGCTAAGGAGTTTAGGTGAAAGGGTCATATTTGATAAGCCTGATATTTAACTCTTTCTAATAAAAAGAGATGTATATCATGCTATTGATTTATAAATCTTATACTACAAGTCTAAAAGTATAAAATAAAATAGAGCATGAGGTCACCTGTTCCTTTAAAAAAAAATAAAAGCAAAATATAGTAATAAAGCCAAACTTGGATATATAAATAATGATTTATTTATTATATTAATCGAGACAAAAGATATTTATAAAGATATGGCAGAAAGACCTGATATATTTGATCTTAATGATTCCAAAACTATTGAACTTTTCAAAAATGAATGCTTAAATAATATTATTAAAGAATCATTCCATATTCGAGCAAAACTTTATCATGATGTACTTGTTAATAAATTTTCAAAATTGAAACATAAAGGAATAAGTAAAATGGAGATAAAAGAAATGACAAATAACGAATTTAATCAGAAAATAGATGATTCTTTACCATTTCATTCTATAAATGAAATTAATAATTCTATGACTTATATATATTGGACATGTCTTTTTAATGAAACTTAAGAATAGATGCTATTAATAATCAAAGAAATGCTAATAATACCTGATTACGTTTACTGTCAAGTTAAAAAATCGTTCTCGCATCTTCTCCACTTTACGTGAAAAAAATGATAGTCTTTATATACGAGATAGCGTTAAGTTTTTCTACTGTAAGAAGTGCTGATCTTCGTGATGAATCATAATAACGTATTTCCCTCAAAGGGCTATTCCAAAAATCGAACCTTAGACCAACTACAAATCATATAAAAGGAAAGCGAGGCAGTTAGTGAACCCTTTTATCTGTCTTGCGCAATAATCAAGTAAACTAATAAAACCTAATCAAACTTACCAATATTTACATCGTTAATATCCTTGATCAAACGAGTATAATCCACAAAGTAATAATAAAGCAGGTGTTTCGGGTTGGCTTCTTGAAACATATCATCACGATGTTAATCGATTTTCCCGCCTTTATAGATGTTCCAAAATAAAACGGACATATTACTCTTCTTGATATATCGGCATTTTGATCTTCGCCGAGAAAATCTTTGACTATCATCACGCGTATAATAGGTGTGGTATTACAAAATAATTTATCTAATCAATTCCACGTGTATCATCATCGAAATAAAAGCATCTTCACGTGCCGAATTCTTGACCGTACTGATAAAGAAAACATGAGACAGACTGGAATGTTCTAAAAATGAATCGTAGTGGTAAGTGTAATCGGAAATATTACTTTCCTCAGTTGTTAATTTCCCGAATTTATACTTAGGTTCGAAATTTCTTAATCTCGAGAAAGTTCTCTTGCATAGTGATATAAATAGACAAAAATTCTGTAGATATGGGAGGAATAATTTATTTCGGAAATCTAGTGTAGAAAAAGAGTATTGATCTGAAAATCTAGTAATTGGCAATAGTGATAGGAATAAAATAAATATCGATATTTGATCGCCAGTCTAAATACGCGCGTTCTTTTTCCTCGCAAATAAAATTCCCCTATTAATATGACTGAGACTGAGGATTATTTACACTTCACTTTGCCAGCGTTATGGAGCCTTGATAATTTCGCCGATTGGTGTGCGTCATATGAAAGGCTCGAGTGTAAAAAAATGAAGTTTCTGGACTATATGAAGAAAGGACTCCAGAAGATTATTGACAACAATATGATTAAGGAAGATATACGGCAGAAAGCGTCTGACTTACACAAAGCTTTTAAGGTATACAGTAGCGTCTATGTTGGATAGGATTGTATTCAATACAAGCAACTATTCGTTGTTTCTGTTGATGCAAATCTGAAGAGGTAATGGAGATATTGGACTGAGCCAGGGGACTATTCGTCAACTGGAAGACCGACTATTCGTCTGTCCTCTTCTCTGGCCTCCTATGGCACACTGGAGAACTATTCGTTGTCTTGTATTGAACTATTCGTTCGTCATGGCCTTTATGCTCTTTAAAAACAATGAGAGTTTGTAACATTAACATTAACGTATTTTTCATACTATTACTCATTTTCTATAATAGTTCTGTTCGACTTGAAGCTCCAATGAGAGTCGAATATAAAGGTCTTGATTTAGAAAGAACTTTTGCCGTCGACACCATAGTGTACATCTTAAATCGACTATTTAGGATGCACCAAGACGAATTAGATGTTGCATGGTAAATATCAATCTTAAAATTCAGAGTTTTGGATTATTAAACTTACTAAGGATTGAACAAATTACTCCAGACACAAAAGATCATAAATTTGGTGGATTGTACAAAGTGATCAGGGGGACTGGTAAAGGTCAAGTCATAATTATTATAGAATTTTCGTATGGAAGAAAGACACCCGAGTCCAAAAAAAGTGGCGATATGTTAAAATTGTGTCGAAACGCAATGAGAGCTCTAAACAAATTGTTAAAAACTATACCAAAGGACAGTGCACGAGTATATTTAGTACAATCTTTTAGTAAGTATTGCAATCAGAAACTAAATATTATGAAGTTTGATCACTTGTATATACTTAATATTTTCTTATAGATGGGTTTATCGAAATTAAATATTTAGTTCGGCCAATTCCTTCGATATATATACTTCAACGCTTTATGCATACCAAATTACCCACCTCCTTTGGAGACTTTGAACAATTCGCTAACGATCTAAAAGATCTAACGAATTGGCAGGTAAAGGATTGAAAATGAATATTTTTAGATATCTTGTCAAATATTTATAATAACTACTCTTTGTTTTTTGTAAGCTGATGTCTTGCCAACAGTCAGGACAGTAAATAAAGCAATCGCAGTAGATAATACAAGAGGAGACAATAATCTCCATTTAGCTTCAGTTGACGATACACCATTAAAGAAAAAGAAGGCGGAAAAAAATCAAATATCATCTCCTAGATCTCCATGTCCTGGTGGATCGCCTTCAGAATTACCATAATTGATTTAGATGTTCTTTTTTCCACATTGTTAAATACACTGTTTTTATTGGTAACATTGAAAATAATAATAGTCTTAGAAAAAGGAAGAAAGTGTAATAAAGATCTTTAAACCTTTTGATGGGGTTGGAGGGGAAGTTAAGATAAATTGTATTAAGTCTTTTTCTGCGTTAACTATTTCGAGGTTGAGCGTGGAGGATATTGTGTATATAATGGCCAATAATCAATAATGCTCATCTCATATAATCAATAAATATGTCTGGTTTGATATCACTACTATTATTGATAAAAAAGATAAAACACTTTCTAAACCATATATTAATCGTCCTGGTTTTGATATGAAGTACTGTATGCTGTATCATATATATTACATTATGGCGGAAACTATGCTAATGAACTCAATTAAATTTTCGATAATGAGAGATTATTTAACACTTTATCTACCATAAGACAGAACGAAACACCTGTTCAATGGGCAGTACAAGTAAGAATTCCGTTACATGATTTGTTAAATTCAGGAAAATTTAATATATATTATCGGTATTGTTTATTTATGTCATATGGTAAAGGCAAATTTAATAATTTCCATTATCATAGGCCAAGAATCCATAAAAGTCATATGGCTATTTGCTTCGATTGCTGGAAACTCATAAAAATCGATGATGTGAATCCTAAAAAATCATTCCATTTTGCTAGACAAAGGTATGTTGATCATCTCGAACTTAAAGATTTGATGCAGGAACATTGGGATTATGAATGTAATAAACCAAAGACTGATTTTGGAAAAGCAAAAATTATACAAATAGCTTATCAAAATTATAAGAATAGATCCGAATCATTAGCAATCTAAGCTTGGAATACAATGAGAAATGACGGTACTTCTGATGATGAAAAATTTCTAGGTTTAACTCGACATAAAGTGAAAAATCCACAAACTTGGGAACAATTCAATCAATGGCGTACTAAATGGATTACAATGTATAAACAATGTAATTTGGAAATTCCTTTGAATATTTATGTTAGAGAATATGAGGAATATTATATTTGGTTAATTGGATAAGTTCTAAAAAGAGACAATTGTGGGTTAAATTCCAAAAGTGACTTTTAGAAATAGGAGCATGGTACTTTAGACTTTATTTCGTTATTCCTGAGGGCTGGTAACATTTTTTATGGCATAGCCATAAGTCTTTATCTCTATTTTAGTTTCTGTATACAGTTATTTTATCCGACACAAAAACCCCCTTGATACAAATAGAATTTATTTATTTTTCAACATCTACTTCAATCTCAGTCAGGCTAGATACTAATAGCTATTTCATTGAAAAATGGTAGCAAATAAGATGTTAAAACTATCCATTCCAATTTCAATCATGGCTAGATACAGACAGCTTCTTAATAGAAGTAGCAAATAGGATGTATATATATAAATGTATTAATAAATAATAAGAAAAAAATAAATGCCTATTTACTCAATAAATATGTTTCATTTTATTTATATAATTTTAAAGGAGTGTCCCAACTAAGTCTAACTACTAAAGAATCATCTACTGCCTAAGTAAAATCAAAACCACAAATTTTCAATTCTGCAAAAGTTTATTAATTATCTTGAATACTTTTTTTAGATTATCTGTATAATCTGTAAATATTATTATCAAAAATAGAAGTAAAGTACAAATAGATAGTCTCATTATCCAACTTATATATCCTGCAACTGATTATTTTTTTTACCTATACTCCATATACATTTTAGAATTACAAACCACATAATTACAATAATTAACAAAGTAAGAAAAATATATGCAGATAACAATGACATCAAAGTGTTTGCTATAATAGGGATTGCTCTTATTTCTTTTACCAGAATTTGATTTTTCTATTGTATAAAATATGGGGTTACACTTTTGAATATACTTAATAATATATCAAAGCTTATAGCAAAACTAGTGTCTTGACACATATGCATATCATTAAGAGATATAATAGATTTTGGGTTAATTACTTTATCATAAGCTGTTATAAAAATATCAATCTTCAAAAGTGAGATATAGTCTTGAATTATTAAATCCTCAGGTGTAGAAATACTTTTATCATTATGAGTTGATATAATAATATTATTTTTTTCTACCTCATTTATATTTTTTTTACATGTAAATATTTACTAAGATTATTATTCACAAATATATTATTGTTAAGAGGTATGATTTCAAAACTAGAATTTAATATTAAACTTTATTTCTTGTTTGAATATTTTTTTCATTATCCTTATTAATTATGAGTTTTGATATATATTCCAATTTTAAACTATTCAGCTCATTAACTTTTGATACCAATTTACTCTTTATATTTGCCAATTCAGATTTGAAAAATATAATTTTAGAATCTTTTTTTAATAAATTTTTCTGAACCAAAAATGTATCCTTTTAAGCTAATATCAACTTGCCTTCTAATATCTTAATTATTGACTGAAATGATCTTATTTCTTTTAATTAAATGTCATACTTAAATTTATACTTGGCATTGAAAATCTGAAATCAGGTAAGTTGGAATATTAAAATATTTAATTTTGATCTCAATTGCTTAATTTTATTTATAAGTTGATAAACATGTTTAAAAAGTTTTTTTTATTTTTATTTGATTGATTTAAATTTTTTTGTATACTTATTATCTTTATTCAAGATAAAACATCTATTAGCAAGTTGATTACCATATTTTATAGCAATTTTTTGATCTTGATTTGCATAAACAAATTAATTTTCAAGTTTAATATAACTAGCTAAATATTGATTATATGATATGTCTCCAAGTTTTTTGCCTTTATCTATATTTGACAATGTATAAATTCAAGACATAACAAATATATCTTTTAATAAAATTAAATAAAATTAACAAAGTTGAATATATATATATATTGAGCTTGATATATTATATTGAATATATATAACAAATAAAATATATATAATAAATAGAATATATGTATCAAATAAAATATAAATATATATTAGATTAAAATATTCATATTTAATAAGAATTAGATTTGTTTATTTAATATATTATATATATATATATATATATATATATTTTTAAGTGAAACATGTGCAAGGTATGTGATCTTTATTAATATATTTATATATTCAGACAAACATCAAGTGTCTTTAAAAATTAATTGGAAATAGGTTGATATATGAATACCTATTATGTTTCTACAGCTGATTTGTAGATTAATACTGTCTAGTACCTATATTGTTATAAGACTAGTTATGCCAACTACTTATAACTCAACGATATATTTATTTACATATCTGAAGATGTGCCTATATGTCAGATGGGATTTTCTGCAATGAGGAAATCCTATTACTAGTTTAAAACCCACCTAATCTATTAAGTTCATATTGCAGAGAGCAGTGTAGTATGGAATATTATTATAGAGATTAATTCTAGTCATTCCAATCACCTATTATCACTGATCCTCAGGATGTGCCAATAGTATAGTACAGTACTACTGTTTTTACTACCTGTATAATTGACATCCTTGCTTGGATTCTGATTTAATCTTGATAATCCTCACCAGACTCACTTGGTCTTAATAATTTTTACCTGAATTGTTACCTCCTGTGGCTAATAACCTTTTGCTCTTTGAGTCTATTTAAGTTCAGGAGAATATCACTTATGGAATAGATCCTCAAGATTCAGATTGGGATAAATCAGTTTAAGATTAATTTCTTTGAGTTGTATGACAGAGTTTGCCATTATCAGTTTGGATTGAAATTTTGTAGACTTTTACTAGAGTTAAACCAAAAGCTTTTTCTTGTGCAACCTTCTGTACTTCAACCTATTTTTAGCTTGCAATCGTTGGAAAGATCAGAGGTCTTATCTTTATGCAGCCTAACTAAATTTAGATGCTATTAAGGATTATTGGTAAGAATCCTAACGATTCTCTTTGATTTTGTATTCAATTCTCAAGTTTATATTAAATTTAATAGGTGGGATATACCCTATCATCATTTTTAATAGTGTTTCAAACCTTATGCGATTCTGTTTGATTCTATTTGATTCCAATTTTCAGAACCATAATTATTGAGTACAACATATGCAGGATATCCAATAAACCTATATATAAAGGTAAATGCACTTTTTGCCTCCTGTGAGTATTGAACTAGGGACTTGTATTTGGTAACCTAGGAGCACTAACCACTGTGCTATTGACCTACAGGTTTATATTTTTCCAATATATTTTATATTTTCATTAGATATAAATATCTTATATTTTCAAAACAGTAAAAAAGAATAAAGCATTTACAAATATTACTATGATTAGAATACATATGAAATATAATGCATTTCAATTTTCTTTTAAAAATTATTCTTATATTATGTAATGTCATGATATAAGTCCAAGATATAAAAATTTAAAAGATTTAGTAGATAAGTATAAAACATCATCAAAATAGATTTATCAAATCTGAAAAGAGAAAAAAGTTAATAGAATTGCTTGGAATTAATCTATACTTCTATATATAATAATGATTCTATTTCATAAAGCAAATATAATCAAAATACTAATATATCAAATTTTGTTACAAATGTTTTTTATATAGAATTCCAGTTTTTAGATCAAAATAGTGTTCTATTGCAAAGCAATAATGTATTTGAAAAACAATTATAATAATAAGCAGACAAAAACAAAGATTTGAAGCTCTATTTCTATAGATAATACATCAAAAAGAAAAACAGATCTTGAAAAATTAAAAAAAATACTGATAAATTAGTATCTATAAATTTGTTTTTGTCTCAGTAAGTTAGAAATATTTTTCTATAAAAACTTTATTTGTATTTAAAGCCATATAAAGTCACTCTTCAGTTTTTATGAGACATTTTTTAAGTTTATTATATTTTTTACAATTTATGTATTTTTTTTTATCTCTAACAACTGTATTTTTTCTGTATTAAATATATTACATAATTTTTTATAAGTAAAAATAGGAATTGTAATAGTTTTTCTATT